ACAATTTGGAGGTTTTGAGAGAAAGAATTTGAAAATAATGTATTTATACAAATTAAACAAAACATTTGAACACATATTTCAGGCTCCTTCCAGGATTTTGGAAGGGGTCCATGCAAGGGCAAGATCCTAAAAATATAGATTGCTTTACTTCATGATAAATCTAAATCAAAGTGCTGGGAATATAGCTCAGTTGGTAGAGTGCTTGCTTCACATGCACAAGGTCCTGGGTTCCATCCTTAGCATAACACACACACATACACACACACACACAAAGTCTAAATCAAATTCCCTGAGGTAGGGAAGAGGAAGTTGCACACCAGTGAAGAGTTATGAAGGAATCTGGAAGTCTAAATCAAACACAGAATATGAATTAAATAAAACCCTTTACCCTTACCCCTAGAGTTGTCTAGTAACTCTTAAGTCTTTTGAAGGGGGATTGCCACTGTAAGATCACTTTCCTGGCCTAGTTTTAAGCTTTTTTGAGTTAGACAAATCAGTTTTCATTCACCCACCAGCTTTTGAGAATTCAAAATGTTGTCGCTGTTATCTCCTTTACCATTCTTGCTTCTCTGAATTCATGCCATTAAAAAAAAAAAAAAAGGCTTTTCTGTCATTTGATTAAGAGTTTCACAAAAGAATAGAGGAAAAGGTGTGTATATTCAACCTTTTTTTTTTTTTAACATTGGGCATTGAACTCAGGGGCTAATACACACTAGGTAAGCACTTTACTCCAGCAAGCTACACCCCCAGCCTTGTTTATCTTATTTTCATACAGGGTCTCACTAAATTGCCCAAGCTGGTCTCAAACATACAATCCTCCTGCCTCATCCTCCCCAGTAGCTGAGATTAAAAGCATGTGCCATCGTGCCCAGCTCAGACTACCATTCTTATCACAAAGACCAAATATGCCAAATATACTCCAATTACTCCCCCAAACTGGCTGGAGCAGTTCATACTGCCAGTAGCACAAAGTGAAATATCCACTTACCTTTACTGATACTCTGTATTGACAAAACTTTCAAATCTAGTTAAAATAATTTCATTATTTTAATTTATCTTTCCCCAATTAATAGTGAAGTTCTGAATCATTTTATGTTTGGCCATTGTGTCTCCTCTTGTAAAATAATCTGTTCATATAATTTATCCATTTTTTTTATAAGCAGGGAAGGAGATAAGAACATGCCACTTTGGCACGTGGATTACTTTGAGGTGAAGATAATTGAAAAAAAAGTAAATGCAGGAAGACCTCTCTGATCTTCCCTTTTTGTTCCTAAAAGCACACATTTTCCAAGGAAAGAGGTGCCCTCCATCCCCATACCAGGAGAACATTCTTGTCACTGATATAAGAAGTCAATACTAAGTCAAATCTGTACAAACCTGCCATGATAGTTAATCTTGGTTGTCAACTTGTCTGAATTGACAGATGTCTGAAAAACTGATAAAGCAACTTCTGGATGTGTCTGTGAGGGTGCTTCTGGAGATAACTGGCATGTGGGTCAGTGAACTACGTGGAAGAAGACCCGCCCTGAATGTGGGCACCACAGTCTAATAGTCAGGGGACTTGAATGGACTGAAAATCAGAAGAAAAGCAAAGATACGTGCATTTGCAAACTTGATTCTTCTTGAGCTGGTGAAAGTTTTTTGGTGCTGCCACCATTGAAGGATACCACACTCCAGATTCTTAAAGCCTTTGAATACAGACTAGTACAAGTAACTCTCCAAGGAACTCCTAGTACTTCAGTCTTGGATTGGGACTGCATCATTGGTCCCTCTTGTTTTGAAGCTTCCAGCCTCTTGGACGAGGCAGTTACTGGCTAGTACCAGCTTTTTCCTTTTCTCCAACCCGCAGATGGCCACTATGAAACTTTGTAGCTTCTAATCATGTAAACCTCTTACTTAATCAAATAAATTCCTCCTATAATTTGTATATAAATACTACTGGGTAATTTTCCTCTAAAAAACTTCATATGCCTACTAAACAACCCTTCTCTTCTCTTGTGTTTTCCCATGTATTTTCTATTCATTTTCCCACAATATACTTCCCATAGCTAAAATTCCCCTTTCCTTTGTCTTATCACACCTTCACAATGTATTACTCTTTGATAAATGGTATATAAGCTCTCAGGCTTATTCTACTTCTGTGAGTTAATTTCTTATAAAAGAAAGCATCTCTATACATGGAAAAATGTTAACATCAAATAAAATTTGTATAATATTCTCTTATTAATCTTTCTTTTGTCAGTTTAATTCTCAGGTCCAGCCACAGAACCTAAGAGGTTACCTTTTTCTTACTGATTTGCAGGCATGCTTTATATTTGCTCTTTTCCCCCCTGTTAGTCAAGTTGTAAATATTTTCTTCTGATTTCTCTTTCTCTCTTAACTTTCCATGTGGCATCTAAATTCTAAGGCATTTTAAATGTTGTAATTGTTTTTGTTTCTATATAAAGCAGATATTTCCCACCCTACAGGATACATAATTTGAATTTTTTTTATACATATGTAATTCTGTTTTTCACATTTAGAACTTTAATCTATCAGGAATTTATGTTTATGATGGTAAGAGCCTTTTTTCACATCAACAATGGTAGTATTTACTATATAGTTCATCTTTTATCCATTGATTTGAAATGCCTTATCTAATTAAGAAATAAAGGTTTATATAAGTACTTTTCTGTTTCCAGGTTGTCTATTCATTCCCAGACTTTGACTCTTCATTCATCAAGAAATTTCCAAAATTGCATTTCACATAAGAAATACCTTTATAAGAAATGAAATAGAAATTTGTTAATGTCATAAAAATACCAATTGTAGATTGAAATAAATGTTCACTTTAATATTTATCACACAAATGTTTACTTACATTTATCTGAAAATTATAAGAGGACAATTTGTGCGGTATATTCATATTACTATCCATGTAAGAACAATACATATAATTATTTATTCAACTACGTCAGGATAACACACGTGGTTTTCATTTAAGATTCTCAGAAAGAGACATCATATAAGAAAAATGAATATCCTAAGATTATTAACAATATAAATAAAAATTATTTCTAAATGTCTTACATTTAACAACTTTGAATCATACTTACATTCTAATATTTCCCCAAATCATAAATTACAATAAGGGTCACTGTCAGGGTGAAAATATCTTATTTTAAAAGCTTTTTTTTAAATACGTTATTATGCTTCAATATCATCTGATTTATTCTTGGCACATGTGGCATCTTGGAAAAGTAAAAATATACTGCCAATTTTATGTGTTGTGCAGGTATAAAAGAAAGAACACAGTTCAGGGGTAGAGAGACCTGTGTTCAATTACCAGCTTTGTCCTGTTGTGTGAAGCTAGTCAATTACCTCTTGGTGCTAGAACCAGGATTAAATTAAATAATGCATATTTTAAATGTATAGCATGGATAATCAATGAATGATATCCTTTCCCTAATGTATTTCCATTTTATTCACACTGTAGCAACAGCAAAATACCACAGTCTTATATTGTATTACAGTTTGAATTTTTTTTAAAAAAATTGGGAATTTAAAAAATAATATTAATGTGTTCTGAAAAATAACACTTTTAGTAAATAAGGAAATCCTTCGGGAAAAGTAAATATTTTCTAATAAAACTCAATGCCTACTGTACTCTGATTTTTTAAAAAATTCCTAAAATAAGATAAAAATGGTCAATGGTTAAGGACTTTTGGTTTTCTTTTGTGCTACTGATATAAAAATAATGGCTATATTTAAGGCTTATTAAGTGATTGTAGTTGCCCTGAACCAAATCTATATTCTTGGTGTTGTACTGTTAGTTGAAACAGACCTACTGCTTTGAACGACCATCACAGAGAATTCTCATGATATTCTATATTTGAAACAATCTTGGTCTCTATCTGACTCTCTGGTTCATTTGGTGGCATTTGACAGTTCAGCTCATCTGCATTAAGGATGACTCTTATACACAATCACAAATCTCTTTTTCTAATGTTAAATACATGGTGCTTGGGAGAAATGGGATTCCTGAAAAGGAAATTTATATTGTCACAAGCATAGACTATTCTATATAGCAATGCTTATATCCCTATTCTTCTTTTTATTTCCTACCCTAACCACCTGACAAATCTTCCTTCCAAATCTGACTCAAAAACCCTAACAGGAAATTTTCCTAACTAAATTTCACATCCCTCCCTTTATGTCCCTTATGTTTAAATGCAATTTATATAAACATCAACTTGTATATATTATTATTCATGTTTCATGTGCCTTCAATTTCCAGCTATAATGTCTCTGACTTTTGAAGCTTCCATGGTGCTGTGAATGTATGTACATGACTGTGTTTATTTGTGTGTGTGTGTATGTGTGTGTGTGTGTGTGTGTGTGTGTGTGTATGAATAAAAAGCTAAAAATTCTGGGTGTCTGCAGGGTAGAAAAAGTTACATAATTTGACAGAAAAAAAACCTTCCTAATATTAAAAAGATCTGATTTCCAAAGCATCTTCAGCTTGGTTTTAGACATGTCAATAATAAAATAAAAATTCAGTGGAAAAAATGTTTAAAAAACCTTTAATACTCCAAAAGGCTTTTTAATAAATGATTATTAAGAGCACCAAATCAAAACATTTTACTGAATAGTAGTTTAACCTTTCCTATAACTTAGGAATGTAGACTTGTTTTCATTCAAGACAAACAATACTGAACAGGAATAGGTGTTGTGAATCAGGATAAAAAAGGCCATTCATTCTAGATCAATATCTAATGGACATTTTGCAATTAATTTGAAAATCCTTCTGTGGTACAGACACATTATGTTAGGTAAAAGAACAGTTTATATCAAGATGTAATAGATCTCTGTAGTTGTTTTGATACTGTAAAATATGACAATACTGAAGTTGTTATTTAAGAAGAAAATTTTTGTTTATAATAGCTGTTAGTAATAAAATAGGATATAATAAAAATTATTCTCAATATGTGTATTTTCAAATTTTCCTGACAGTGTCCTTCTAAGAAATCTGACAATTTGTTATTAGATTACACACATTTGATTTTCATTTTTATGATTGAAAATATTACTTGCATAATAACAGACAACAATAAATAGTAGTTTTTTTACTGAAGTACTCTGCAATTGATATTTAAAGCTTTGCAATAAAACAAAATTCATTATAATTTTTCATAAGTTAAATTATATAGCATATAATGTATGCTACAATTACAAACAAAATAAATAAAATGAAGGAGGATTAAATAATTCTAGACAATAACCATGGGATGTTTTGGCTGTCATTCTAAATGATTAGATTTTACATGTTTATATTGAATTCTAATGCATTTTGAACCCCAAAACCTTTATCTTAAAATAATATACTAAAAAAATCAAGTTTACCATGTAAACACAAGGCTCTAGATGCCTTTTTTCACGGGTCACCTAGGAAATAAAATAAGAAAAATGGGCAAGGAAAGTTCTTTCTGGTGTTACAAAATGCCTCTTCGTGTCCCTTTATATACTTATGGCATTTTTAGAGCACAAATTATGATAGCTTTGGCAAATTATAAGCTTATTTAAGTGATAACTTACTTGGAAGAAAAAAAATTAAACTAAAACTTTCCTCTTTTTGGCTTATTCATTCTCAATCTTTTTTCCCCCTCTAATATACAACAGTGGTATAAAAGCACTTTTGAAATGCACACTATTAACCATTTTAAACAGCACAAAATGAATTGGATTAATGTATACAGTTAATCAAAATAGATTGTAGGCATAGATACTAGGGTGAGGTCCTCGAATTTGTTACACGCAGGGCTAAACTTGCAAGAGATCTCAGGGCAAAAGTAGATACTTTGTGACATATCCCAGCTTTTGAAATATAGTTAGAAGCCAATCGAAAAAGCCTTTCAGCACCAAAGGTATTGAAATGCCCAGGGAGCACTTTCTCAACCAGACCTCTGTCCACTAATTCTATTAGACGTTCACAAGTTCCAACATAGTCACTTATCCTGCTGTATGGGAGCCAGTCAATCAGTGATCCATCATATACAACATCGCCACTGAAGAGAATCTTTCGGTCTTTGTCATGTAAGCAAATACTGCCTCTGGAGTGACCTGGCATGTGCATAACAGTGAGTTGTCTGTCACCAAGGTTGATCACATCCCCTACAAATGGAAACAGAATTTACAGATAAATATGTTTGTATACTTGACTTCAAACATTTACAAAACACAAGTACTTCAAGTGGTTTTAGGAAAATTGGGAAGGATAACACTCATTCTACTTTTGTTCCATACAAACTATATTTCTGAATGATGATTTAAAAATAAATGGTTTACATTTAATTACTGTTCGCTAGACCAGTATTTCCCCAAGTGAGTAATGTAGAACACTGCTTCTGTGAGTCATTATGATAAAGAAGATGATTCTGTGGTCAAATAATTTTGGAACTGTTGCTTCTAAGAAAATTAACCATCTCTCTTTTTTGTAAGGCTTTTAGAGTTTTTAATATACCAGTGAATACTGTAGAAATACATAAGGTGAGTATAGGTGTACAATTTCTCAGACTTATTTGTTCATGAAACGTTTACATTTCAGAACAGCCCACAGTACCACTATCCTGTTGGCACAATTCATAAATGTTGTTCTAGTGAATTGTATAACCTTTTGTCCCTTGTTGGTTTACCCTATGGGCATTAGGGCTAGAGGAATTGGTACATATGATGATGCTTTGGCTAATGCTATTGGTATAATAAATTACTCTTTGTTTTTGACCCAGAAACCTCATGTCCTCTTTCAGAATCCATTAAACCATGGCAGGCTAACTTGAAAGTAGGATAAAATTTCAGACTCACTACAGTTATTCAGAATGGGGAGCAAATGGAGCTATATGGATACAAAATTGCTGTTTCACTGGAATTAAACCAATACTCACTTGAAGTAAAACATGATAAGGTAAAATGTTCATATTATAATCTCTAGTGAAAACACTACAGAAAGAAAATTATAAAAATATAGCTAAGAAGTCAGTAGAGGAATTAAATGGTGTAATAATCAGGATTGGTTAAAAATAAAAGGAAACCATAAAGAAGAGATTAAGGGCTGGGGCTGTTGCTCAGTGGTAGAGCGCTTGCCTAGCATGTGTGAGGCCCTGGGTTCAATCCTCAGCACCACATAAAAATAAATGAATAAAATAAAGCTATTTAAATAAAAAAGAAGAGATTTTTAAAAGAAATGAGACATAACAAATAAAACAGCAGACCTAAAACCCAACTGTATCAGTAATTTCATTAAGCATGAATGGGATAAACACTCTATAATTATGGTCAGAAATCATCAGATTGGGTTAAAAATAAAGAGATATATACAATTAACAAAAGAGGAGCTAGAAAGCCAAAGACAAAATCAGTTGAACAAGCTACACCATATGCATATTAATTCAAGTGGCTATATTAGTATAAGACAAAATAGCTTTTTTTTAATCTTTATTTTATTTATTTATTTATTTTTACGTGGTGCTGAGGATCGAACCCAGGGCCTCGCACATGCTAGGTGAGTGCTCCACCGCTGAGCCACAACCCCAGCCCTGACAAAATAGATTTTTAACATAAGAAATGCTCCGGAGAACAAGTATATTTTTATGAGGATATAAATCAGGTAAATATATTTTAAAAGAATAAATGTGTATGCACATAAAACATAGAACAAAAATGCATGAAGGAAAATCTGACAGAACTGAAATAAGAATATGATTCAATAATCATACTTGGAGAGTTCAATATTCCTCTCCCTGAGTAAAACATACATAACAAATAAATAGAAAATAGATAAGGATACAAAAGACCCAAACAACTCCCTTCAATTAACTTCACCTAATTGACATATATAAAATACTTCACTTCAACATAGTGAAGTACACATTATTTTCAATTGTACATTGAATATTCACAAGGACATCAATGAAGTTTTGAAAAATTTAAAAGGAATAAACCGTATGAAGTTATGTTCTCTGACACATATAATTAAAATTATGAAAACTAGAAATAATGAACCTAATTTATAATTTTTTTGTTTTTTGCAGTACTAGGAATTGAACTTAGGTCTTAGTGCATGCTAAAAGAACTCTAAACTGTAACACAAGCCCTTTTTATTTTTTATTTTGAAACAGGGTCTTGCTAAGTTGCCCAGGTTGGTCTAGAACTTGTGATCTCCTGCCTCAGTCTCCTAGGTAGCTGGGATCACATATGTGCACCATGGCATCCAGCCTATAATATATTTTGGATAACAAAAAAAGCCATAATTAAAATAGAAATACGAAAGAATACGTGAAATATCCACATAAATTAGATATCATAATTCTACCAAATTTATGAAATAGAAAATTAGAAAAAATATGGATTAAACTAGGTAAAAATAAAACATCAAAATGTATGGAATATAGCTAAACAGTATTTAGAAGAAAATTGCTTTAGATGCTTATTTTCTAAGCAATAAATGCTTAAAATCAATAACCAAAGTAACTATCTTAATTAGATATGAAAAGAAAAGCAAATCAGACATGAAATATTAAGTAACAAATAATAAAGAGTGCAGCAAAAATAAAGGAAATAGGAAATATATCACTACAGAAAAAAATAATGAAACCAATAATTTCATTCTATTCAAAGGGAGAGATATACTGTCACTATTACAATCAATATCATTAAGATGGTAGTTTAACCCATTTTTTCCATTGCTCAACTGTCTAACAGTGTTTAAAATTCTGAGCCAATATGGTAGCTACAAACCACAGGCAACTAATAGCACTTGAGGCTAGTACAACAAAGAAATTAATTTTTTATTTTAAAATCTAAAATTTGTATTTAGATAGTCACATGTGGCTTATAGCTACTATAATGCTCAGTACAGATTCAATACAATATCAACCAAAACATTCACATATTTGTTTGAAAAGATTGAAAATCTGACTATAAATTTACATAAGATGCAAACAACTTACAATAACCAATTATTATGAAATAGAAAAATAAATTTGAAAGACTTCCAAGACCTAATTTCAAGATGTTCAATACACTACAGTAGGTAATATGTCAATGGCTAAATGACAGACATTACTCTCACATACTCAAGCAAGAAGGCAGATTCCAGAAGTAGACACCCAAAATAGGGTCAATAGAGTTTTGACAAAGTTGAAGGCAATTCAACCCAAGGTAATGCAGTGGGTAAGAGGACAGTCTTCATTAAACTAAATTAGCATATTTTGGATATCTGTGAGCAAACAAAAGTGAACTTCTCAACTTCCACCTCATGATATTCACAAAAATTAACTCAAAAGAGGTCATAAACATAAATTTGAGAGTTCATAGGAAAGGAAAACAAAAATTTTTGCAATCTTAGGCTATACATGGATATAGCACAAATAACGTGAATCATAAGGAAAAAATCACTGATTAGCCTTCATCTAAGTTATAAACTTCCTATTGAAATATTGCCATCAATAAAATAAAAAAGTGAGCCCACATACTGAGATAAAATATTATATGTATATTTGATATATTTTACATATTATACACATATCAGCAGTATTGGGGATTTATACCTCAATAATAAAAAAACCTCAATTCTTAAAAAAGAGGAAAGATCTTAATAGATCTTTTACAAGGAAGATCTGATAGCAAATAAGTATCTGAAAAGATGTTCAACATCATTAGTCATTAGGGAAATGCAAATTGGATCCCACTGAAACATTACACATTCTCATCAGAACAGCTAAATACAAAAGAACTAACAAAGTCAAGCATTGGCAAGAATATGGAAAATTGGAACTTCCATAGACTGTACCTGGGCATGTAAAATGGTATAAATACTTTGGAAAACAGTTTGGCACATTCTTAAAAAATTAACTTACATTTATCACATACAACTCAGGAATTCTATTTCTAGGTGTGTACCCAGGGAAATGAAAACATGTGTCCCACAGACAGATTTGTACACAAACTCTCATGGCAACATCATTTATAATAGCCCAAAATTAGAAAAATTCAAATTTCATTCAACAGGTGCATAAATAAATGAAGTTTTGTATCTTTACAGTAATAGAAAGAAATGAACTATGAATACATACAACAACATGCATGAATCTCTTATACTTCACGTGAAAGGCAAAGAGGAAGATACAAAGACTATGTATTACATAACTGTATTTCCTGAGAATTTTCAGAAAATCAAAACTATAGTGACACAAAATGATCATTAGGCCAGAGGTGAGAGCAGTTTCTGGTTTGATAGATCCAGGATAGTTTGGAAAGAAGCAAGAGGAAATTTTTTAAGGTGATGAAAGCATTTTCAAACGTGATTGTGCTTATAACTATGTAAATGTAAACATTTCCTAAAACTCATCAAACTATACACTAAAAATGGGAGCAATGGTGGTGGAGTAAAATATTATTTATTATTATATATATTATTTCTATTTATTATATATAATGTTATTTATATAATGTATTATAATTTGTATAATTATTATATAATTTATGATTTATATATTACTTGTTATATAATATATTATTTATTATTATATAATAAAATATTATTTATTAAATATTATTATTAATTATTTGATTTTGAAGTGCCATTTGTAAAAAGTAAAGCTTTTAAAATGGATATAATAAGTGGAAACAATTCAATTGCTCACCAACTGGTGAATGGGTAAATAAAATGTTGGATACTCATAAACAAAAACATTATTTGGTAATAAAAAGAAATGAAGTACTGATTCATACTCTAATGTGGATAAACCCTGAAATCATTTAACTAACTGAAAGAAAGCAGGCACAAATGTCCACACATTGTATGGTTCCATTTATATGAAATTTCCAGAACAGACAAGTCTGGGGTGGGGTTAGGGCTTAGAGATTTATTGGGGGGGTGGGTAAAGAGATTCATGGGGGGCAGGGCATGGGAGACAGTGGAGGCCAAATGGTATGGTGCTAATTTTGGGGGGTAAGGGAAATGTTCTAAAATTGATTATGATGACAGATGCACAACTCTGTCACTATATTTAAAGCCACTGAACTGTGTTAAATGGGTGAATTGTACACAAATTATATCTAAATAAAGCTATTAAAAAGAGATACAATAGAATTGATTGCAAAAAAAATCAATA